GGAAAGGTTATCAGCTGAGGAAAAATGTTGACTTTGATATCTCGACATATATTCTTGGGCAATGACAATGTATAAGATATATCAAGAGAGAGAGATACTGACTTCAGAATTCCTCGAACTGGTTTCCATTCCCACGGCGCTATTTCGCTCGAGAAGTAATGTGCTTGTTCCATCTCTACCTGCCAATTGCCTCGCAATTGCAAGGCCTACGGCACCTCCACCGATAACCTTAGCATATTAGCATTCAATTGCAAGAACATATCGTTGGTACTATGAAAGGGGATATACAGCATGCGTAAAATCAGCCTGTCGTGAGATAGTACTGGTGAAACATCGTCGCTGCATTAATTTTAAGGTCAGTTGACCTCGAATGGAGCTGCGAAACATATTCACGGCTTTTCTTTTTCGATCAATAAGCTCCAATTTCAAGCTGTTTGACCATAAGGATTCAATGGCTTGTCGTTGCATAAGATTGTAATGATGCAATAGCACGAGTGCGGGGAGCTTCTGTGCAAATGCAGGGGTTCACAAGGCTCAAAGACAAGGCTATCACTATCTTCATCTTTGGTTTAATAAATGTTAAAGTCTTGAAAGAATATGATTCATTAAGGTTTGAGTGGTTGTTAAGTCTTGATTCTAGGAATAGGAAATATTCTCAAACGCGCTTTTAGACTCATAGGTAGCTTCGTTACTGCCCAACAATAAACATACTGATCAACCCACCGACGCCAAAATTTCGTAAAGTTTACAATTTGGATACACTTGATCCGTAAAATCATATTACGCCTCTAGTCCGCAGTATTTCCCACACAAAAAGAAATCCCCTGAGTGTCTGTATCGCGTCAATCTTGTTTTGGCTCCTCTGCTGGTGCAACAGGTGGTGTTGCTTCTTCAGAAAACGAGGTGGAGGATGCTAGATGGGAGCTCAACGCAGGTTCGTGTGTTATGGAGGAATTTGCATGTTGTTCACTAACTTGGCGCTCTAATCATTATCAATTAGCATGAAGTGATATTGAAGAGATGTGATCAAGTTTAACTTACCCAATTCCCGAATTCTTTGGCGCAACATTTGATTCTCTCGAATCATTGTTTGGGTTTCGGCTTGATAATATGCAGCTTCATCACGACCACCTAGATTCCACGCATCTCCCCCTTCATTACTTATAGATGTAGACCTCAACCTAGGAGATGCAGTTCGACTAGGTGTTCTCGATCGTCGGTTTAGATTCTCTCGTGCAACATCGAAGGAAGTTCGAGGATGCATTGCAGTAACAGGTGATCGGGGAGCTTGGACAGCTGAGGTAACATTTGGTGGGATATTTTGTGTCGAAAATGATAGAGACCGCTCAGATGTTGGAGTAGATTCATCTATGGCAACAGAACCTGCCGCTTGACCACTAACAGCTTGTAATTGCTGGAGTTGTTGTTGTTGAGTTCGAATCATATGCAAAAGACGATTCTGAATAAAAGAGAAATCAACAAGTGAGCTCGAAATATCGGCACATCTTCTAATGGAACAGTGACTTACCACTTGAGCTTCTTGTTCTTGTTCCAATTCCTGATGAATTTCGCCAAGACTAGGTGCGCGATAATGGCGATGATCACCACTTGCAGTGATAGGTGACCCTGTGAGTGACATAGGGCTGGCTGTACGATTCTGGCTCTCGCTAACGATTTCCCCTTGTGGTGGTAAGGTGGGATCATTCATTTGTAAAGCATTCAAGACTGTTGATCGTCTTCTGCCTGAGTGCGAAGCTGTCGAAGCTTGTCTATGCCGGCTTGTAGAACCACCTACATGTGAAATTAGCCGTTGTTCTGTGTTGGTTGATTATTCGTGGTAATAAAGGAATGAGAAAGAGAATAAACATACGTCTTGTATTTTCTTCTTGTTGAAGGCCCGCGTTTACTGCAGCAGCAGCTTGGAGCGACGTGGATGCAGAACGTGGTGATGGAGAAGGACTTTGAGCTCGTACATTCATATGTGCAGGGTTATCGCCTGGATTTGAAGCTGTGCGGGACATGGTGGGTGAAGTATTTGATGATCTTGAAGGAGGAAGTGAGTTTAAGTCGGGAGCCATCGATATATGTTGTGTTTTATAGCTTCAAGGAAAACAAAAGAGGGATTGGCGGAGGGTAGGTAAGGATTGGATTGATGGAATGTTGTGGGGTATTAAAGCCTAATAGAATAGCTAGGGTTTGGTTGGTTAGGTTGTTCGTCTTAGTAGTTCTAGACAATGTATGGATGGATGGATGGATGGATGGATGGCATGGCATGGGCAGGCAAATCGTATGATAAATAGCTAGATGTTAGATATTGAATATCATGATTTATCCTTAAGTGCCTGATTGATCTATGGTGCTTGTGTTGCACTTTCGAATTGCTCATAAACAATTCTTGATGTGATCTACTCTTTCCTGTTGCCAATTAGTTGGTTTTCCATCCTTAACCTTACATCGTCTATCGACTACCGGTATCAATCAATGCACTGGGCAGGTAAGCATTCTGAGTAGCTTGAGAGAAGGTGCCACGGGTCAAAGCTTACCTGCTTAATAAGCTTCCTTCCATATTATTAGCCCTCCCAGTGACGGTACCAACCCAACGATTAGTACCCGCATCTTAGTAGCTTTTCTCCAGAATGCAGGGTTCGTTTTTAGATTGTCCAAACATCAATGACAACTTGAACCGATATACCTGATGATACTCACATCACAGAGGCAAACATGAAAACATACCTGTCTCATGATGATTGACTAATTGAACATCATATCATTCCCATCTCATGTTTTTACAACGGGAATCGGTGAAATATTATTATTACCTACCTACCTACCTACCTAAGTAATGAGTCCTAACTGTAGTATCGTGTGATGCTATACGATATTGTATGCTGATTGCTATAGAGTGGTAAGACAATGGGTTGACAAAGTCATCAGTCTTCCAATCCGATAATAGTATATCTCGATTGTATCTGAAGCAACCCATTCACATATATATCCAAACAATAGAAAGATGGATTCATGGAACATGGAAATGATACGAAATGCCACCAGCTCATACTGCAAATTGAGTTCGGTCATTACTTGATAGGCCATGTCAGATTTCATCATATGTGATTATCTGCGAATCGAGAACACCCGTTGTTAGATGTCCAAACGGAATTTATACGGAGCCTTTTCCCCACCGCTGCAGTGGTACTTTTACGAAGTTGCGAATGATATACAACCTTCATTGTCGCACATCTGCAGGGGCTTGCATTTTCAAAGCCCACTGTATGAACCCTTGGTCATACCATTCCCTGAGGGTTCCGTATAGTGAAATCTGCAGTGTAATCGTGAAGTTCTTGAAAAGAAGAAGATTAGGTAGTGATGAAGGAGATAAGCCCAACTTAAATCTTGTTTCGAGTCATCTGCACATGCACATATTCATGATTTCACGTAGTAATTGCCAGTGGCATTGTCGACGTTGACGGTATCAAAATTCTACAGAAATGCAGAGCAAGATGAAGTGCATCCTTTTTTGTGGCAGCCCTTTTACGAGCAGGAGGACAGTTGGGCAACATCAAGTTGGCACTGGGAAATACTAGACGTTGCGATGTGTGTTCGAGAGGATTTCGGTGTGGTGATACGAATTTTTGCATCTTGGGGCGGTAAGAACACCAAGTGAACGGGTAAAATATCCAAGTTGGAGCGTAGAGAATTTTTGATGCACATCTCATGTCATGCGGTTCTAAGAATTAGTACAGATTCTGCACACTGATTCCGAACACTGCTTCTGCGCGAACTTAAAATTTCCTCGTCGGTCTTGGTGGTGTAGGTAGGTAGCCACTGTTCTGGGTACCGCTAATCAATGTAACCTTCTACCCTATGGCTGGGTTTTCTGTTGGCGTTCACCTGACATAAGACTGCAGAACCCTAGTGATTGCATGAACACCGGGTAGGCAAATTCGATCGCTTTCCTCATCTCAAAATACAAAATTCTTCCAAGATATGTGAATGGCAAGGAATGGGAAGATAGTTTGAAAGGCAAACAAACATTCTCACGCATGCCAGCGCAGATATATTTCAAACCCACATATGCTGCGCGCATTATGCACACCAAGATTTGGAATCCTTCAGCGCCCTGTCTGAGCAATGCCGCTGCAAAAGTGCCCAAGATGAAAACATGAGGAGGCTGCAGCCATCCGTCGTCTGGAACCGCTCCCGCAATGGGGAGCGAAAGAAAAATTCCCATATTGACACACCAGGTTTCCTATTGTTATCTTCCACGAGAGTCTTGGTTGTATTACGATGGCATTGCCCGAATGATGTCTCAGATATTTCATGATAAGGGTGCGTTGGGTAGTCATTTGCACAAAGCAGAGATGGCAAGTAAGGGTGGTCAATTAATCGAGTGTTGTCGGAAGCCCGCATGGTAAACTCATGAGCTAGCAGCGTTAGGCGTCGGCAGCGAAAAGATTTCTTGGTCATCTAGATCATGATATCTGCAGCTTGAATAAAAATAGGGCTTTTCAGAAAATTGCAATTATGCAGCACTGGAGTTTCCCTTGGATAAAGATAGTCTTCACTGGATCAGAAGCTTCCGAAATCGAACCTGTCGGATGCTATGCGGCCTCATTAGTCCAACAGATATCATTTTGGCCACTAAAATTTGAGCACTATGGGATTGTTCTCGAATGGCAGGTGCTACTCACGGTACCAACACAACCTTTGTCCTGTAGGGTTCAACTCTCGAGTCTGCATCAACATGACAACTGGACTAGTGACAGGCCCAATAGCTATTAAGTGTCCTACACTATCAAGAATGACCGAATAGCTAACGTAGGATCTCTGCACCTCGAAGATAGGTTGTGTCATAGAATCGTTACTACCGACTAACGATTTTCAGAGAGCTTTGTTCTTGGCAATTCGGACATATCTTAAAAAGATGACACTGTCCCACTCTGCGTCAACAAGGAAGCGTTGTAGAAGGAGAATCAACAGTTACTCCATCAAAGATCAAAATGACGAAGAAGTCGTGAGCTTTCCATCCTTGCATAGGTTCACAACTATATTGCTTGGGTACTAACTGATATCCGACAGAAAAAAGGCCATTGTGCACAAGACCAGTCATATCGCTAAGAACCACAACGCAAACATTGTTTCAAGTACAGTCGACGAATCTATTGGCGTCGGCGGCAAGGCGCCCGCGAAGGTCCATAGCCAAGCAAACTCCTTGACTTTTCATGGGGAGTCAACCAATGCCGAACTTGCGGAAGAGAACAATTGCTTTTCTGGTTTACATTCTGATCCGAATTTCCAAACTCCTACTTGCGATCTGTGTACTAGAAAATCGGGTATTTGTGGGTACCGTTCGGGAAGTGGCCATGACTACGACACCTGGTCCGACAATACCGGTGGACACGGATACACGGCCGATATGAATAAGCCTGGGGACAAGATACAATTGCAGCTATGGACGTACGAGACTTCTCAAATAACCTTCGCTGAAAGATTAGAACAGAGAAAGTGGTGTGGTCCAGGTCAGAAACTCTGAAGGACTAAATATAGTCTGTATCGAAGATTTCAGCTTGGGTAAGAGTTCCCACGCCTTTATATTTTCAATGCATAGGCTGATGTGAGCGTCCTGGAAAGGATTGGTAAAAGTGTTGAATTCGGATTGGAATGTAAAAGTGGCGCGTTTGCTTGGGCAGACAGTGAGATGGCAAGGAATCTTGCGTGGGACGTGACAAGAAAGCTGCCAGATGAAACTAGGAGATTTGGTTTTGGGGGAATCTCTCAATTGTCTCTCGCAATGAAGTAAAAGCGTGGAGGTCCGTTCTGACATAGTGTGGTTGTTGTTAAAAAGAAGGTTGGGAAATTAATAAACGTTGGACCATTGAGAGAATTAATAAAAAGCACTCCAGTGGACATTTAATACAGCTTATCTCATCTATCCATGGAAGCAATCAAATACCACCTGGGCACCTGCCCTGGGCATCCATGTGGGCAAAATCAACGCCACATCTTGTGGCTTAGTCATCAGCTAGAGGCGGGGGGAGGCAACGGGAACGGTACCGAGGTGGGTACCTACTTAACGAACGGTAGTAAACTTGCAGCTAGCTGCTAGCTCACACAGCACCAAGCTTATTGCAAATACGGTTTCTACGTTTTACTTCCTCCATACATCACAATTAAACACAACAACAAATTGATCCTATCGCACGATTGTCATAGCAATTCTTTTCCTATAGTACAATATTATGTACTTCGTCTCTGGCATTACATACTTCACGTGCTTTGACCGCCTGAGTCTCTGAGCTCCTTCACAGGCCTCATCAAAGTAGGGAGTCCTCTGCTTGGCAACGAGATATGGTGATGATCATTCAGGTACAGAACCAATCAAGCATGGATTGCATGGCAAAATAAGCTTTTACCGGGGTTCTCTCCAATGATTGATCTTATCAATGGTTATCGAGATTCGTGATAATAATGGCAGCATGCAGCACTATCCCACTTAACCCAATGAAGAAGGTCGGAAGATGGATAATTCCCATTGGAGTATGGAACCTGCCAATATGGCATTAGAAGATCTTGGCCAATTTGATGGCAATCAAGATATATCAATATATATGTCAACGACAATGCTCTGATTCCCCTTCTACTCCACTTTCTTTCTCTTGTTTCTCTCCCTTATCTGCCCCATTACCTTTTCCGAGGTGATTTTTGGGCTTTCCACTTTTTGATCTTCAATCACAATGCCTCCCTCAAACATGGCTCTCTTTCTTGCTGTTCTGGCTGGAATGCCATGCAGCATAGCTGGCAAAACAGATGGATACGGACACGACTACAATTCAACAATTCCTGTTGGTACAGCTACTGGGACTGGCATAGCCACTGGTACCGGTACACCTACACTCGCAGCTTGCGGAATTGTGAGTAGTTTAGCATCTGTTGCTAATGCCGCAACACCATCAGGTATGTGGAAATGCATGAAGAAGTCAATCTCAAGAGTGAAGATATGTACCGAGTGGTCAGACTACATACACATACTTCGCATCCCCAAACAAACTCAATGTCTACGTTTAAAGTTCATGTATGAATTGGGCATAGTATAAGACAGAGCGATGTCACACTAAACTTTGTTAATCTTCAGACTGACTATTTCGTCCTTTAGCTACACCCACAGTTGATGCTAAATTGGCCCACGACTGTCTCAATTCAGTACCATTGAATGTCACTGCAGCCATTGAATATGTTACAGGATTAGAGCCATATATTGAATGGCAGTCAGGTATGTGTCATCTGTCACTCTTTATGTTTTTAAGGATTCACCTTGACCGGAGGGGCCCTTAGCATTATGCCCAGTTAGACTCTCCTGAATGGAAGTTCTTAAAGTAGACTCTCGAACTGACTTTGGTAGATCTCGTGGATCTCAAGGACCCCCCAGCAGATTACTTTTATCCTCCATATGATCCATTGGCCAAACTTGCTTCTGTGAAATCAAATCTTGAGAAGGGTGGCGTGTATGCAAATGAGTACGAATTTCAACAAGATTTGTATGAAGTCTTTACCCCGGCACACGATGGACACTTTGTAGTCTATCCAGATCTTCTTACGGCTGCTTTTGAGTGGCGCCGTCAGAGATCTTTAGTGTCTATCAGCAGTGATGGAGTCGAAGTTCCTAAAATCTACCTATATGGTGAGTTTGAGGACAATATCTGATGTCAAAACATAATTGCTAATCAAAGTTTTAGAGGATATCATTACTGCGCCCTCGGAAGCATCTGAGGTCACAGAAATAAACGGTATTGATGCGGTAAAATATGTAGAAGACTGGATATTCCAAGCCTCTTTCAATCAAGATGCAGATTCTGCGTACAATACCATGTTCTACGAGAAAGCATTTGTTGCAGGAGGTAAATATAGCCCTTCCCATGCACTATTGTATTGGATTGTGTGGACTATGCTAACTCTACTCACCAGGCGTTTCTACGGGATACTTCGCATCCGGAGGTCGAATCAGATACATTTATCCAGGCTCAAATACTACTTTCGGCTTCGAAAATGGCACAACTTTGGTTACCGAGAACTATGCCAACGTGAAAGGAGACTTCACTGGTGTCACTGATGGAAAGTCGTTTTACCAAAAGTTTTGCGTGCCATCCACGACTGAATCCGCTGAAGCTACTTCATCAGCGCCTGCAGCCGCTACTGTGACAGCTACTGGATATCCGACGCCTGTCGTCATCACTAATGACACTATCGTCAGTGGATATTATCTAAGCGAACCAGGTTTCGAGAATGTTGCAGTCTTGAGTCTTTTGGCATTCGAATCCGATTCAATTGAAGAATTCCAAGCCGTCACCCAAGCCTTCCTTGCGGATGCAGTTCGAGATGGAAAGACAAAATTGATCGTCGACTTACAAGCCAATCCAGGTGGTTACATTTTGCAAGGTTATGATGAATTCCGACAACTTTTTCCTCATATTGTTCAAGATGGATACAGTAGAATGAGAGAGAGTGATGCGTTTCGTACGATATCCAAGATAGTTTCAGAAGACATTCCGGCAGATTGTGAGTGAAAGATCATTAACCTTTGGTAATCCCACATCAAAAGCTAACTTCATACAAGATGATCCAAACACAGCTTCGTCAGATTTGATCAACGAGTATGAAATTTGGTTCAACTACCGATACGATTACAATTTGACTAATCAGCCATTCTTGACCTTCGAGGATAAATTCGCTCCTCATGTTTACAAGGGTGATAACTACACGAACCTGATGCGCTGGAACCTTGATGATCCTCTTACCACTGTGAACTCCACATATGGTATGGGTATTGAGATCTCCGGATATGGATCGTTAAGTAACTTGACTCAACCATTTGCCGCCGAAAATATCGTCATGATCTACGACGGCTTCTGCGCCTCAACCTGTACTATTTTTAGCGAATTCATGCGTATTCAAGCAGGAGTCAAATCTATCGCTTTTGGTGGTCGACCTTCAAGCGGCGCCATCCAAGGTGTTGGTGGTGTCAAAGGAGCACAAGTAACCTCCTTCGATAGCATATACGGTTATGCACAACTTGCCGCCTCATCTCCAAACGCAACACCCGAAGATATCGCCATTGTAAACCGTTACACAACCTTCCCAATTGATAGAAGTACCGCTACATCAATCAATTTGAGAGATGCCATTCTTTCCGGTAATGTCAACGATGGGCTTCCAGCTCAATACGTAGTTGAAGAAGCAGACTGTAGGTTGTACTGGACAGCACCCATGATCACAGACGTAGAGAAGGTCTGGGAGGCTGCTGCTACAGCGGCTTGGGGCGGTGGTGCTTGCGTTGCAGGCGCTGGCTTGCCATATGGAAAGAGGGGCGTATTGAGTAAAAACTCGAAGACTAAGGAGAAGAAGCCAGTGATTAATAGAAAGAGGGAGAGGAATACCCTAGCGATGAAGAAGAAGGATGAGAATGTTAAGAAAGATCCATTGTGGAATGCCAGACATGGAAAGAAAATTATTTCGTAAGATAAGAAACGAATTCACACTTATTTGGATGGGATAAGGTGTCAGGATATTGCAATCTTTTAGGGTATCTAAAGTAATATCAATTGAGTATCGGGGATGCTCGATAATACTGCATTTCTCGATGATATGTATTGTTTTATTGAAACAACCGTGAGATGTGTGAAATGTTTTCCTAGTGCTGAAGTCTCGTTTAATCTGAGGGAGAATAATTTGAATGTCTAGGCTTGACCGAAACATTCAGACGTCCACTCTTTGGATGCCAGCCGATATTTTCCGAAGTCGTTCGGATTATATAATTTTATTAAAAACCTACACTGATTTTATTAATTGGAAAAACTTCCCTTATCTCCTGAGACGAAGTCTATACACCAGTTATCCTCGCGAGAATATTCAGTGAGGCAAGACTCTCCGATGAACCTTGCCACCCTGAGGAATCAGCACCGTCATTACTTGTATCCAAATCACCTATCTCACTTCCATTGAGGGCAGTACTATTGAAAATTCTATAGCTATCACAAAAGGATCATTCATTATAGTCTCAAACTTGTCCAAGTGACTAAAATATATCCATTTCTAGGATCTAGAAAGCCCAAACACATTCTGTTTGATGTATCCTTCCTCACGACATTGAAGATAATACCAAATCCACACAGAAGCAACCCCAGAGTCCAGATAAATATTTCAAACAATCTCCAATGGTACCTTTCAACGTAATCCTACCCCCAAATTTAGCACAAAGCCTCCAACCCAAAAACATGAGAAGATAGTCTCATTCGGAAGCGCTGGTGAGAATCAAGCTAACCTTTCGCAAAATAGTAGTACTTCTCGCTCTTTTAGACTCTACTATCTCTTCCAAATGACCATCTTCATTTCTTACGTATGTTCTCATCTCCGCTGGCTTGAATCTTCGCCAAACGGGCTGGATTGTGTGAGAAACTAGATATATCAATGATATTAGTTATCGACACCACAATCGACCAGAAAAGTAACATAACTCACGCGGTAGCAAATACTCCATGAAAGACCCGTGAGAAACCAGCACAATATGTATATCCTGTTTCATCTGCATACGCGAGCCACTATTTTGTGCAGCACCTTGTATATAAATCCCCTTCCAAAGCCCACCTCCTTTTCTGATAAGTTTCGAAATGACCAGGATTTGCTTACGAACGAGTTCCGCACGTTGTCTCGTACGAATGACACTTTTCATCGGTGGAATAACAGGTGACAGAGCTGTAAAATCTACCCCTTTGTGTTCATGATTATTGATCAAATCAAGAGTTCTTTGTCGAACATTACACAAATATGCTCCACTTTCTCTTAAATCATCGTAGGCGACGATTTGAGGTTGTGGATAGATACTTGCGTTCTTGTCGAAAGGGAAAATATGCAGTGTAGTCTCGAGCGTGCGAATGAGAGGGGATGTGAGCACGAGATTGGGGACGGGGCATCGTTTTCTCATCTCCTCTCGAGTAGATTTGGCTTGTTCGATGCCGGTATAGGTAAGAGAGGGATCTGGGATGTCGTAGGATTTGGGATTGATTTTTCCGTGGGTGTGGCCGAGATTGTGGTAGGCTTCGCCGTGTCGAATGAGGTGGATAAAGGTTCGGGGTTTGGGGGTGGGTTCGGTGTGGATGAAGTACTGTTTTAGAGGGAGGCATAGTACCATTCTAGAGTAGAGTATAGAGCTCAGTTTGATGATCTTGAAGTGTTTCAAAGATGGTTGAAAAGTCCCAGAAAATACCAAAGTGGAATCTACGTATCAGGGATTAGCAAACTATAGTCGTTAAGAAGTGATATACAATGTTGAAGCTCTTGGCAGCCACCCTGGATCGTTCCCATAGGTTGTGGAAATGCAGTCGAATAGACTACAGATGATAAGGAGGGTTTAACGTGATCTTTAACTCACTGGTAAGGAATAGGTAGCAGGCCTACGTAGCTAGCCCCTTTTCGTTGACGACTGAAGGATAAAATCAGCGATGAATAGGAGTTTGGCTGTGCAAAGATCCAAAGAATCAAACCTCGGTGGTATCGGTGATTTTTGTAATTTTTTGTGCTGCTGGAGGCTCGTCAAAGACTGATGTAGTTAGGCAGTTGACTGGATCGAGGTTACAGAATGGCTAGATGGGTAGAGATCAAGGGATTGAGCTCGGTGAGTTAAAAGCGATGGTAGAAATCTGTTCTGAATTTATCCAAGTTGCTATGATTCAAACAAATTTGATCTAGAAGAGAGAAGGTTGTCTTGAAAGATACGAGAAGAATCAAAGCAGTGAGAACGTGATTTGATCTGAATCGGGATATTTGAGGTGCTGAAAGAGACAAAAGTAATTGGCGGGAATTGATCAGAGATGACTAGAAGAGTGAAGATTGGTAAAGGAGTGACGTACGGCATTTCAGTAATAGTAATAGTAATGATTTTTGAGTCGGTAGTGCTGGGATATAGAATTGTTCAAAAGTCAATTTTGGGAGAGTGTTGTTGGGTAGATTGCTTGGGTGGTGGAAGGTGAATCATCACAGTGATTCACTTATTTAGAAACGAGTAAATAAGGACAGCAATTCAGTCACAAAGTTTCATCTTCTACATGAAATGGTGAATCGAACCCCTCTACCAAGATCGAATATGATCATACCATTAGCAAGTACATACACAAGGTCCAATGCGCTAATATCAAAAGCTACCACATATATATATGGCACGCTGGAAGCTATCAACGCAGCGTGGGACGCGATATAAGAGAAAGAGAGGAGATAGAACATGCTGGATCTGTACATACGGATGAAAGATCTAGCACTAATAGCACCGATCCGTTGAAGAACTAGGAACCCAACTAGCTGCCCGGTCCATATCATCTGCTTTTACCGAGACTACACAACTCAGCCCTACAACTAATTTCATTTCATATATTTGTAGTTGAGGTGACTCAAGCTCGAACAACTTGCGGCCATGCGGTATTGACTGCACACTTGAGAGCAGAAACTCGACATGTCCACGTTTCAAGCATTGAAAAACCACCTGCTGGGCAAACAGAATTGAAAGCAAGGAGGTCTGGTGAGAAAGCTCTCATCATGGTTGTATCCTCTTCAGTAGTGGTGTGAATCAATGTTTGATGAGTTTTCTGGCACGAATAGTACAGATAAGAGGGCACCTCTAACCCCCTCATACAAGTCTTATGAAATCCCTGGGTTCTCTTTCAGCTGTTTTTTTTATTTGCAGACATCTGTTATTTCCCACAATGTTCGGGGAGGATTGAATCTCTCGGGAATTTCAAGTGATAGTTATGAGGAGAAAAATGTCTGATCAGCAACACTGAATCCAATGCCTCAGCTCAAGAGACCTCTACTTTCCACTCTCTCGCCAGAATCGCCACACCCTTAATGATATAATGAATCTCATGGACGACGATATTAGAGCCAATACTATTGACAGCATTCCCGATTACTAAAAATTAGCACTCAAAACACAATCATACTGAGAAAGGCACTTTTAGAGGGCACGGTAGGGTTGATGAAAATGTAATATTCGAGCACTGGTAAGTCCGCTATATTCTCTGCTGCCTCGATCTTTGAAGGTATGTGAAGATTCATTGAAGCATCAGCTAAATTTAGCGATGTACCAACACAAATCTACAAAGTAGATCTACGAGAGGCTGATCGACCCGAATACCTGATGCGGAAACGAGCATGAAGTGGCTCGCTACCTATCTCTTTATGCTCACGCATGAAACCTATCGAAGGGACACTAGGCACTCGGTAACACTTCCAAGTGAGTAAGGTCGAAAAGAATTGCGTGTGTAACGGCGAGTGTAGCTGATGCCCTCTTAGTCTCCTTCCTGCCCGCAATAACCCGACATGAAAGTTTAAGAAAACAGGGCAAGAATACAGATATAGATGGTTATAAAACAGGACAAGGAAAAAATCAACCAGAGATTTATAGTGTCTGATTCATAATAGAATGAATGGAGAAATATCTAGGGCACGTAGTAAATTTTTCACTCGGTATTATGAATGAATGCCGGGCAAGATAAACGATTTTACACAAACCAGTTAGAACAACAATATCATTAACATAGCTGCCAATCTACAGAACGAATCTGCTCTTGAGATAACCTTCTATCACAGCAACTTTTTTCAAAACTTTTAGACCGGAATTATGATTGGATTTGGAAATAGGTGATTTCACACTAGTCTTGGTGGGAAATTCGCTAAGGTTCAGCCCGACAATCATTTGCATGTACAACATCACCGAGTAGGATACTACATCTTGTCTTGCATGATATGCATATAACTTCTCCGATAAAGCGCCAAAACGTCATCAAGCGTTTGTGTTATCCGATGCTACTATTCCGGTTCATCTCAAATTCATACACAAATACTGTTGTGGCTAGCTGATCACCACGGGGGTAACAAATGTATCAAAAATTACTGCATTAAGTGGCACTGTGTATCCAGGTACGATACTTTATTTCCAACACGAAAAGTAGGAATCGGGTGCAGTCAAGATAGACATTGAAATTCGCTCAAATACTAAACATTGTGTCACAAATAATGGTTCACTAAGTCGAGATTCATAGCAGCGATCCAATCCACGTTCACCATATCTCCTGACTAGGGAATTATTAAAACTAGAGATCCACTACGAATCATATTCTCCTAGGAACTGCAGTGCAGCTTTCTCTTTCCGTCGAACTAGCTGAATAGAGCTTACTTGTGAAGATCGTGCAGCCTTGAAAGCTTTACAGTAGATATAGGGCATGTTCCTAACTAGAAACATGATATCCAAGCCTTAACTTGATCGGATCTCAAGCCTCTGATTTGCCAATAGGAGGCCATTTAAGGTGTGATTGATGTATGCATATTCCACTAAAAGGCTTTGAATCCCGAATATGCCGAGTATCTCTACTGTATGGTAAGGAACATCTTGCCACGTATCAAGAGTTCATATCTCCTCCTGTATTTAACTCTCAGATTTATCTCCAATCATTCATAACTTCGAGATCCGACGCCGTAGTCTTTTTGTTTATTTCCCGAGTTGATAATTGCCACCTCACGGCAATATCGTAACTTACCGATTGAGTTTAAACGCTCAATATCCCATCCTGTTGAAGCTTTCGAAACTGACCCTAATTTTCCATACACGTTTCGCCCGAGACTGCACGAGGCAAATCAGACAATCGAAAATGCGAGCTGGGAGTGTCGTGAGGATCTCAAGAAAGCTGAGTGGAAAGGATCACTTGCCGTCGGCTGTGTTAATGAGATAAGCGGAAACTTTGCAGCAGCGACTTTCCCTGAAGGAAAGCTAGATTGAGTTATTCCCATGACTTATATATCTGAATACGCATTCATTCATGATGGTGAGTGATTTTGTATGGTGACGAATCCCCAGTGCAAGGATTTGGAGTTGACATTTGATTGAAATTTCTAAGAAATGGTGGATGAGAAGGATACCCCTGAAGAGGTAAGAAATGCAACACGCCGTGGTAGAATTCAACTTTGAACACATTTATAGTTCGAAAAAGCCCATCAGACGATGCACTCATTTATCGGCAAAGATTACCAAGACCAAAGTAATAGTATGTTAAAGAGCATACAAGCCCGAATGGCGCTCCAGGTTTACCAAGGGTATCATGATGGAGCATCCAGATTCTTTGAAGTTTATCGGTCATTTTTAGAAATCAAGTCTGCGCAAAGAGATTTGAAATCATACAAAACATTGGATGATTATTTGGCCTGGCGGTTTCTTGATGCCGGGGGTTGGTATGTTATCTCTACCTTATAGTTCTGTGTAAAATGCTGACGAATATAGGATTTTCAAGGAGATGCTCCTTTACACTGCAGACCTGAATTTGAACAATGATGAGACGTCATCTCTGGAGCCGGTCATTCTCCCTATCTTGCAAGCTATGGTACTGACAAATGATTATTACTCATGGGATAAAGAATATGAAGAATACAACCGAACTAATGGGAGCATGCCAATGGTAAATGCCGTCTGGCTTCTGAAGCATCTGCATGAGGTTGATAACACTAAAGCCCGGGAACTTTTAAAAGAAAGAATACTGGACCTTGAGATGCAATACTGTGATGTTAGGGACGAATATCTTCGAACACAAGACCCAAGCCCAGATATGATGCAATTTTTTGGTCTTATCGAGCTCGCAGCGGCGGGAAATCGATTTTGGCATGCTACTTCTAAAAGGTATAACGCATGGGCACCAATTCCAACTCCAGCTTCAAGGACAAAGACAAAGCGCTCCGCATCTCAAATCGAAGCTATCGATTCTGATGGCGAACGTGATAGTAAAAGATCTAAGATTGAATCGGATCAGGTACTTTCGGCTCAACACCTACCTCTTTGAAAGGTTCTAACAGTTTCGTCAGATTGCAAGCGAGAGTGGTACACCGTTTGCTAAAACGCCCGAAAGCTTGGAGGTTCGATCTCCGAATACAAGCGGAAATTTTGATTCCTCTAGCCTCAGTCAAAATGACACAGATAAGGTAAATCCCAAGCTTCATAGGTCCTCCCAAAGACAGTGCTGAAGTTTTTAGATCGTCGTAGAACCTTACAAGTATATTTCATCTTTACCAGCATCAAACTCAAGGAATGCATTACTCGACGCACTCAACTGTTGGTATTTTGTTCCACATGAGTCATTGGAAATCATTCGACATGTCATTGGTATCATTCATAATACATCTCTAATGTAAGACGGATGTTAAACTTGTCATTCATCAAGACCTTCCTTCAGTTCCAACAATAACATTATCCAGATTAGATGATATCGAAGACAACTCTCCTACACGCCGGGGATATCCCTCAGCTCATGAGGTATTTGGAATCAGCCAGGCAATCAATTCGGCAACATATCAATATGTGAAATGTCTTGAGTTTGTCATGGCTTTGAGCAAGGAATCTATCAATTGCTTTACGCGTTAGTCATCCCATCCATAGCCGTGAGTATCACGAGGAATCACTGATTTTCAACTTCATAGATACTCTATCACAATTGCATATTGGACAAAGCCAAGATCTACATTGGACATTTCATTGCAAATGTCCCAGTTTGGAGGAATATTTCAAACAGACCGAAGACAGTGCGTAGAATATCTGTATAAATTTTCAATCGAAACTGACATTACACTTTAAGAAACTGGAGGACTTATTCGCATGGCAGCAGGTATGATGCGAGCAGAAGCGACTAAGAATCGTGATGTAGACGCAGATATATTGATGAGAAAGCTGGGAAAGTACTACCAGCTTCGCGACGATTATATCGATCTCATTCCCAGCTCAAAGGTACGTTTGGACTAACTTTTGTTTGGCCGAGACCCAAATTTTGACACCCATGCCTAACTTCCAATTAACAATCGTCTAGGGAGAGGATAAGAATCTAGATACTGTCTACAATGATCTTGATCAAGGATCTTTCACCCTCCCAATCATTCATGCTCTTGGAAAAGGAGCCGAGAACGGCGATGCGAAACTTCTTAATATCCTCAGATCGCGAAAGTGGAATGGAAGGAAAATGTCTGCAGAAATGAAGAAATTGGCAATTACGGAGATGGAAAATATGGGAAGCTTCAATTATGCGAAGGATTTACTGAATGACTTGCACGTGAATACTGAACATGAACTCGAGAAGATGGCTGGGTCGGGAGAAAACTGGATCTTGAGGTTGATGTTGTATCGTCTGAAAGTCACATGAAAACTAGCTATAGCAATCAATCTGATATGCAAATTACGGTTGAAAGATACTGGATTCTCTTCTTTACTTTGAGATTATGCTATATCTCATGCTGGAGCTTCTATTTTGAGGCAAGAGGATGACTTTAGTGGGAACTAGAGAACGCGAAGATGAGTAGTTTGTAGCACAAGCAACGTTCGCTTTTGAACGATGCTAATTCTTGTTTAGCCACTAAATTAGACCACTAGCTCCCTAGAGCTTCACTTGTACGGAGTTTCTCATCGAAGCGAAAACTAACAATTAGTCAATACGAGACACTTGAAACAAAGTCAGAAAACAGTATCAAAACGAGAAAGAAAGCATTCCTTTAATGTAGATAACCGAAGCACAAACAAGACCTCTAGATTTGAAGCGCGAAATATAAGAAGACAAGCCAAATGTTATTCTTTCAAGTTTGCACCTATCAGCCCTTGAGGCCAAATACTCAGAGTACGAGTATAATGAGTATGCACTCGCTACTTATCCTCCACCTGCGCATACTATTACTGCAGGGTATCCAGAGGGCATTTCTCTGTAATATAGAAGAGCAAGTAACCAACTGCAAACATCACTTCCGCTTGGTTTCTTTATTTGAAGAATTGTAACACCTAGTCCGAGTTACAATTGTGCTCTCGCGAGGTCAATCTGAACAACTCATGCATTCAGTAGCTGCTCATACATGTAACAAAACTTCTGGTTCAGGTGTATCACTATGACTATCTCACACCCTCAAGCATACACATCTCAATGCATCCCATGCATACTTCTCAATTCATATCCCAACCTCGAGTTTTGAAAAAGTGCATCCTCCTCTTACCATCAAATCCCCTACTTCCTAGCCTTCATCTTCGCCATCTCCAATGCACTCTCCAACAGTCCCTCCTGCGCTGCCAACTTCGTCAAGATTGGCCTGATTACACTACCCTCACAATCTCCTCCAAGGGCTTCCACTACATCACCAATTCTTCTCTCCAATCGCTCGCTCCCCTCACTTCTCTTCCTGAAGCTGATACCAGGCTTAATAGTCGCGCAATTATATTGACTCTCCGCTGCTTTCAACTGACAGATTTCCTCTGTTGCACAGTCACCCGTACAAGATTCTACATTATACCCTCTGGTTTTGCGAGCGATATATTGATTGAAAACAGTAGGGTTACTTGCAAATACGGTGGTGAGATTATGCCAGAAGGCCGGAGTTAATTCTGCGGTTGCGGAGGTGAGAGGTGGGGTTACTAGAGGGCCATATGCAGCCTTAGCAGAGTAGTAGGGTGTCCATGTTGGAGCTGATTGCGTGGAGGAGGTGAGAGAGAAGTCTGCGATGTAGGTTGTGAAGTCAAGAATGCCGTATGTCACTGGGTCTACGGAGTAAACGCGGAAGGCGGGATAACCGGAGGTTGGAGTCATAGAGGGAATGATGTAAGATACCTCGAGGGCGTTTGCTGCAGTTTGGGCGTTGTAGTTACTGTATGTGATTTGGAATTGATCGCGGTGAGTATGGCCTAATTTTGTTAGTGAGCAAAAGTTAAAAATTCAGACAGAGCTTACCGAAAAATAGAGCTGCAATAGTAGCGGAATATCTTTGAGTGATTTGGTTGAAATAATTCGAACCATCGTGAAGTGCATCGTTAGTTCCCATAGGCATGTGTCCAATAATATAAACTCTTTCGCCAGCAGTTTCAGCAGCCTGAAGTTCAGTGACCAACCATGCTAGTTGCCCAGAAGGATCAGTCTCCATAGTCGGTTCGTAGAGCCAATAGTTAGATCTGTAGTAGAGATTGGTGTTGATAGAAATTATCCTCAGGTTACCTCCCGGTAGGAGCGTCGAGTATGCACCAAAGCTATCGGCTGAGGAAGCAGCAGTAGCACCAATAAATGGTATCCAGTTCGTGGAAAGGGTATCATAAACCCATTGGTTAGTCGTGACGCCAACTGCTTTTGGGGGAAAAGAATTAACTGGTGCCGATTCATGATTTCCGGTGGTTGCAAAGAGATTCTTTAAACCCGACATTCGACTATAGGCATCATTTATATCTGCAATGTTGCCAGTCGAGTTGACAAGCCAGACAGCACCTTCAACTATGTCACCTGTGAAGAGTGTTGCTGTAGCATCTGGAGCAACCTTCTTTATAGCAGCGTACATACTCTCTTCCAAGCTTACAGGAGCATCGCAGTTGTAGTTGCCATATTCGCCAGCTGGATAAGAGTTGTTACCAGGCGCATCGGCGGATGTATATGGCCTACAGCAGATAGGCTTTGTACAATTGGTATTCGCTCCAACTTCATACTCGTGATCCACGTGAATATCGCTGAAATGTACGATCTTCAGAGGTGCTTTGCCACTGACAGCTGGGCGCTGAGTAGCAGGCTTGGGACTTGGAAATGGAACTGTGTATGGAGTGACGGCAGGAAAATCACACAATCCGAAGAATGTTATGCAGAACAATTGTGAAGTGTGTGATCCTAAGGTCATTTTTCTCAAGTCTTGTGCAATGATTGGCCCCTCCAGGCCAATTGCACCTGCGCAAACATCTGAATCCTCGACCTTAAGGCAAATCAACACAAATATTCAATCAAGAACAAAAACGGGAATAGGGGAACTCACGCCAGCCAATTTACATATTTCAGTCAAAGTGTCAACAAAGACAGTATCTCCAAAAGCTGCGACGCCTTTAAGTAGCAATAGTATGCCCTGTTTTCACCCGCATTAGTTTTTGATCAGCAATTGAAGAAATGTCCCCAATAAAGTTCAAGCAGAGGCTTCTTCAAATCCGTCACCAGAATCGGCAAAGAGATATGTGTATAAACAAATGTATGATATACTTACGTTGCATCCCGCACAAGTAGTCGCTGACTCAATAGCATCCCATATATCGCCAATTGTGTCATCTTTGACCAGCTCTGCAGCATTAGAGACTGAAAATATCGCTGCAAAGCACAGATATATGATCGATAGAAACTTCATCTTGAGCAATTAGTAGAGGTGAAGAAAAGGATAGTCGTCCATTTCGCAAGCACTTGGAAGTCCGTTTTATACTTAAATTGTCGGTAGAAGGTGCTACAGAGGGTATCACCCAAATACCTCCGGGTGGTAGAATTGAGAAACGAGAAGACAAAAGTGTATACTTTGGACCGAAGCGTGTAATACACGAGATGATCTTCTTGCTAATTATTGGTTCATACTGACATTATTATTGGGATTGACAGGGGTAGTGAAGGGATTCGAAGAATAAGTTGATAACCATATTACCATGTTACCTTCTATCTGCTGGAGCGCCAATGAGCAGCGCAAGGAACCAATTTTTACATGGTTTTATCAAGTACCTTCCAATAATCTACAAACTCTTCATCGGGGCTGATCGCCTGTTTGAGGTTCTACAAAATGTCATAGGACCCATATACCCCACGATTGATACCTGCCCCTTGTGCGTGTTGTGGATGCCTTGCATACAACGTATAATCTGCCGCTAGTATGCCGGTGCTTGGTATCACGGTGTCAAATGAGTGGACGAAACAAAAAGCAACATCGACAATTTGTATCGAGGGAGCTTCCTATTTAGGGCGAATGAATCCACTAATAGTAATGAATTTAGACTTGAGCCTACTAGTTAAAGAAGGGAAGCTTGTCCGGCTCAGGCTGGAATGCAACAATAAGCTTATCGCCCTGATCTAGAGTAACTCCAATGCACAGGCCCAAGAGAGGAAATGATAATCAATGAGTTCAGTGGCAGCCACCATACATACCAGTATACAAGTACATCGTACTACTAGCACATGCAAATTAACTTCGTCTGGTGGGTCGAGCCTAGGTTTATCTTGTATCAATTCGTGGAAATTTCGGTCAATGATTGTTTGCCTCGCTAGAGTTGTCTCTTGATTTGTGTCAATGACTACAGTAGAGATAAAAATGGTGGAAGTCTGCGAAGTCTTCATGATCTGGTTGCATGATATGTATCTGTTCCAAAACATCAGCGGCGATTTGGTCGTGCAAGCCCTATTGTGGACAGTCACCGATCCTAATAACGGATAGAACCTTGCAGAATGGCCCTCGAAACTGTCGTTCCTCTATCTTGTCGAATAGCAAAGCACAGCAATGTTGACTATGGCCACCTCATAGCTCAACTGAACATTCGTATCTGCGAGAGACTTCTAATTTGTCTTTCCGCCCTCCAGGAAAGAGAAACTGGCTCATTCTCCCACGAGTTGGAGCACAAGTAGAGAGACAAGGTATTGATACATACTATTGTGATCAGATGTCATAACGTTTGTGCAGTAGAAAGCTTGGTGTTCATGGAGGTTCAGATCAATGAACGAGTGAAAGACTTTAGGAAAGTGAAGCCTTTGTAAGTGAATAGGCCATTCTAGTAAAATTTAGCATCTTTTAGATACATTATCGTTCTTTTGTTTTTGATGCTGAATTTGTAAAAGGAGTGGTTTGCAAAGAGTTTAAAAAATAGACACGGAACGAGAGTACTGTGAAACTATGAAACTCTGAAACTGTGAAACTACCTACCTACCTCCTGTTACCGTACATATTTGAAAGGTGGCTGAATATGGGTCACAACATCATTGAGTGGTTCGGGTCACCATATCTAGTTCCAATCCCCCACTCGGAACAACAATTAACCAACTCCGACTCCCCTTACACCGCCAACACCTTTTACTTGTCGGTGAGGGATTAAACTGGCATTACTCGAATCCTCAACTCTTCAACTCTTGTTGATTATTCTTGAAATAAGTCAATCCAGTATCCGAACAAAAGAATCAACGTGATTAATACGGCAAGATGGGTCGCAAACCTAACCGTAAGTTCGTCCCGTTGGAATTTTCTTGATAGCTTCAATTTGAAGCTCTCAAAAACTCGAGTCATCCCCCACCGATCTTTCATCTTCTAAACAAGAATGTTTACTGACCTCATATATCAACAGCGTTGATTCTTCAGTACTTCGAAAGAGGTGCAAAGTTAAATGATTCGAGCAATCGCT